TCCTTCTTTCCTTCCTTCCTTCCTTCCTTCCTTCCTTCCATCCTTCCTTCCTTCCTTCCTTCCTTCCTTCCTTCCTTCCTTTCTGTCCGAGACCAGGACTCAAACTTAGTACCAGACGCTTTTGCTCATTGACTAGCCTCCAAACCAAACACTTGGTATTATCTGCAGATGGTTTGGTTTTCTTAGCTGGGGGAGGGTGGTGCTGGGACTAGGTGGGTAGATGCTGGGGATGGGACACTCGTGTCCTAAATACCAATACATGAGCTGAGAGACTCCTGCAGAACTTCCAAGGTGCAGAGGGCAGGGAGGGATTGGGGAGGGGAGGGATGGGCTGTCCCAAGCTGGCTGTGACCGTGAGCACGGTGCAAGCTGTGGGTGATTTTTCCTGGCACTAGAGCCTGGACACAGAACCTGGTCCCTCCCTAGACCTTGACCTGTAGAGACCATGTTTGCTCTGGCTGATGAAATCTTCCTGGGGGAACACCCAGCACCTGGGCTGGTCTTTGGCGTGAGGTAGAACAGCTCTCCCCACCATGCAAATAGACTCTCTCTCATTAGCTTTTCCTTTCAGAGGCTGACAGAATGAACGTACAAAGCTCCAAGGCCTAGATAAAATGTCCTAATTTTGCTTGAAATTTCATCACCAGGAGATAATTCATAAAAATCACAGTGACAGCCAAATGTCACTGTGACCATGTGGTGCTGGGTGGCTAATGCTTGTAACCCTAGCTACTCAGGGAGCTGAGATCTGAGGGTGGCAGTTTGAAGCCAGCCCAGACAGACAAATACAAGAGTCTTATCTCCAATTAACCACCAAAGAGCTGAAAGTGGAGGAACAGCTCTAGTGATAGAATGCCAGTTGAGAACTGAGTGCTTAAAGCCTTGAGTTCAAGCCCTAAGACCCATGCAAAAAGAAAAAAGAAAGAGAAAAATCACAGTAATTTGAACTACCACCGGCACTTGAAAGCTGAGTACAGAAGCTGGGACTTCCTACCTTCTGCTTAGCCTAAGGGTCCTGCAGAGCTTGCACTGGTAAGGTGGGCCAAAAGGTAGGAGTGTATCCTAGGAGGCCTATGGGAGAGGAATCTGAAGGCTGCTGCCTAGCTTTTGCAAGCACCTGGTCTGGGGCAGGCATAGGAAATTATACATTGCCCTCTGCTGGCCATTTCTGGTACTGCATACACGAGGAAGGGCAGCAGCCCTGGGTGTGAAAGGAAACTTCAAAAATGGTGTCTGTATACAGAATCAAAATCAGTGAGGAGGGAAGAGATAGGGGAAAAACAAAGGAGTGAGTAACAGTGTTTGACAAGAAATGTACTCATTACCTTACTCATGTAACTGTAACCCTTCTGCACAGCAGTTTTACAGTAAAATAAAATAAAAATGGGCACCTGTGGTTCATGCCTCCTTACTCAGGACCCTGAGATCTGAGGATCACTGTTCAAAGTCAGCCCTGGCAGAAAAGTCTCCATAAGACTCTTATCTTCAATTAACCACCAGAAAACAGGAAGTGGAACTGTGGCTCAAAGCGGTAGAGTGCTAGCTTTGAGCAAAAGAGCTCCAGGACAGTGCCCAGGCCCTAAGTTCAAGCCCTACAACCAACCGGGAAAAAAAAGGTATATACAGTTCTGCAAATGGAGTCCAGGGTCATACAATTATCAACATTGCCCAGTCTGAGAACTCACCTTCTAGAATCCTCTCTGGGGAGGCAGAGTTGGAGCTGTTTTCCTACTTTCCTTTCACTTGCCAGCCCTGCAGCAGGAGGTACTCTGGATATTGTCCTTTGTGATTCTGTGGGCTGCCCAGAAGATCCTCCCCGGGGCCACTGAGAGTGAGTATAGCGGCCTCTCTTGGCCAGGGCTGTGATGTGGAACACCTCTCTGGCTCTAAGCTCTAGTGAGTTTAGAATTCAGCTCATAAGTGGGAGGCAAGGGCAGAGCCAGCATTTGGAGCATTCAACCAGAGGCTAGAACCTGCTGAAGATTTCCTTTGGGTGTGTTACAATGGGAAGTACTTAAAACCTCTCCAGGATCCAGGTCACACTTTCCCAGAGACACTGAAGACAGAGGACAGGAGGATGAGAGAGTGGTGCAGAGAGGAAGGGAGTTCAGAACAGCAAAGCTCAGAGTCCTGGCTGGAGAGGGAGAGGAGGAACTCTGCTTGTCCTGACCAGTCCAGCCTGTCTAGACCTGGGGAGGGGCCCTGGCAGGGAAGCTCATCTGAGGGGTGGGGAAGACTGCTGCCCACCGTAGACACCCCCCCCCAGCCAGCCATGTGCTCAGCCCTTCCACACCTCTGAAAATCTCTGCCAGTTCACTTAGTGCCCTCCGCTGCAGTCCTTATCAGCCCTTTGCCCCGGAGGCCCTGATCTCAGGTGCTAAGGGCTCTGGCAGGCTGCTTATCACCCAGCCCTACCCAGTCCCTCAGGCCCCAGAGCTCTAACAAATGGAACGTGGCAGGATTCTTGGCTTTGATTGTGAGCCATCATGACTCAGGCAAGTTTAACCTCTTGTCCTCCCCTGTGGCCAACTGGGGATCTAATTCCTGGAGGGCAGGAAGAGGTGGGGCTGCTAGAAGCAAAGGGAGAAGCCAAGCAGGTGTGAAAGTCAGGGCAGCAGAGCTCCGAGCGGAGTCCCCTCAAACCCACAGCCACACCCAGGTCTCCTGGTGAAAGAATAACTGTACCAGTTCTGCCAGCTTAGTTATCTGCAGTACCCAGGTTGGGATGTAGTTACCATCTCTATTTTGTATACAACCAAAGGGAGGCTCAGAGAAACTGTGTAACTCACCCAAGGTCACACAGCTGATGTATGGTAGATTGGAGACTGAAATCTGGGCTGTCTGGCTCCACAGCTTTCTTCTTTACTGCTTGCAGAAGAGGATCAACTGACCCTGCCTGGCTCACCCATGCTCCCACTGCCTTCCCATCCTTGCCCAGCTGGCCAAACAAACCATCCAGGGTTTGGTCTGTCTGGATCAGTGGAAGGAGCCCCAGGACCATCCTTCAAGTCCAGGGCAGTGTCTACCATGACTATGTGGTACTGTGAACCAGAGAGCCAGAGATTTGAGTGCAAAGTAGAAGATATTAGTGTGCTCACGAATCCATGGGGAAACTGAGGTTCAGAATAGGACAAGGCCTTGCCCAAGGACACACAGCTTGCCAGCAATAAGGACAGAATAAAACCTGAAAACAGGAAACCTCATGACTCCCTATCCCCCGTCCTAGCCCTGCATGGATTGCTGAAACATTACAATTTGCAAGAGAACTTGCTGTGTCACTTTGGTCATGCCCTAGTTCTTCTCAGGCCCCACTCTCATTGATGAGTATAACCTAGAGCCAGATTGGCTCTTAGAAGCTGTCATTTATCACCCTAACCCTAAATCTAGTCTCTGACAGCACTGCTCTTGTGTGTTATGGCAGGTACCAGTGGCTTATGCCTGTAATCCTAACCATGTAGGAAGCTAAGATCTGAGGGTCTCAGTTCAAAACCAGCCAAAGCAGTAAAGTCCATGAAACTCTTATCTCCAACGAACTACCAAAAAGCCAGAAATGGAGCTGTGGCTCAAGTGGTAGAGTGCTAGCTAAGAGATAATGACTAGGCCCTCACACATGCGCGCGCGCACACACACACACACATACGCACACACATACTATGTGCCCTTTAGAGCTTCTCTAGACTCTCAGTGACCCCAGGTTCTTGGGGATAGAAAGCCACAGAGAGACACGGGACCCTCCCCTGAGCACCCAGGCTCCACCTCCCAGCTAGCATCCTGCTTCTGTGGGCAGTGATGAGGGGCTGTGGGGCCCTGACCACACCACACCAGCTCCAGTACTCACCAAAACCGGAAAATAGTTCTTCATGTGGTGCCATATTCTCCAGTTCCGGACGAAGTTCGAGCGCCTGCCCCCCTGTCGTGGCTTGTCCCAGTCCAGGTACCACCAGATGCCATACAGGACAGAGATGAACCAGAACCTCGAGAACAGGAGGACTATGAAGATGACGATGCAGGTCTGGGCTGCAGTAGGAAGTAGCATAGTCAGGGCCCTGAGGACCATGAGGAGGTAGTGGTCATCTTCCCCAAGAGGAAGACATTAGCTCCCACGCGTTCCAACACGGCACACTGGAGCATGGCTGAGTGCAGGTGGGCCTAAGTCCAAAGCCATTCCCCCAGGCTGCCTGACCAAGCCACTCCATCTTCTTTTCCCCAATTCAGCAATAACCAATCTCTCAAATATGCAACCAAGCCAGGCACTGGTGGCTCACCAGCTACTGGGGAGACTGAGATCTGAGGATCATGGTTCAAAGCCAGCTGGGACAGGAAAGTCCTTGAGATTCTTATTTCCAATTCAGCACCCCAAAAGAAAACCAGAAGTAGAGCTGTGGCTCCAGTGGTAGAGTACTAGCCTTGAGCAAAACAAACAAACAAACAAAAAAAGCTCAGGAACCCAGGCCCTGAGTTCAAGCCCCAGAACTGGCACCAAAAATGAATTAAAGAAAATAAAGGCGACCAGATTGGATCGAGGATCCCAGAGAACAAGAGAGCCTTTTCTACCCAGCCCTTCTGTCCAGCCTTTGCCTCATGTTTCCAGTAAGCTCAGTCCAGTCCTTCTTCATATAAAAGTACTTCCATCCTTCCTCATCGCTTCCAGGCAGAGCCCAGCCTGGCATCAGGCTCCTGAAAGTTGCCCTTTGCCCTCCTGATTTTGATCCCCTCACCAACTTATACACCCAGTGCTCCAGCCGCTGCACAGTATCTCAGTTTAGTATCCAGTGTTCCTAAACACATCCAGTGGTTTCCTATTCCTCCGCTACCCTCTGCTGAATTGGGAAGAGAGGAAGAGGAGACCCTTGGCTTTCCTGCAGGAACAACAGGCCTAGGACCAGGAACACTGTGGAGTTCTATTATTCTGCTATAAACGAATCCTACTTCGTATCAGTAGTTGTGGGGCCAGCCCTAATCAGATGTCAATAAGCATCATTCCCAGAGAATAGCAGCTCCCCAGTTCCTTCCACACAATACCAAGTTGTTGTTGCTGTTGTTTTGTGGGGGGGGGTGTTTTGGGGGATTGAATTGAGGCCCTCACACATGCTTCACATAGCTCAATACTCTGTCACTGAGTGCATTCATATAATCAAAGCAGGCCAACTCCCTGGTGCTTGGAAGCAGTACATGGGAGCTGCCAGGAATCTGTTGGTCATGGAGGACATCCTGGGGGAGGGGACTTTTGGCCCAGTTTGAAAAGTAAAGATTTAGCGGCCAAAGGATGTAAATTAGAGCCCAAATTATTCTCAATGCATGGAGCACCTACTATGAACCAGGTGCTGGTGGTCCAGCCTTGAACAAAAGACAAATATTTACCTTTGTGAAGTCAACTTTGCAGAGCTGTAGTGGACATCTTTGACCTTGTGTTTTATTTGTTTGTTTGTTTTGCCAGTTCTGGGGCTTGAACTCCGGGTATGGGCACTGTTCCTGAGCTTCTTTTACTCAAGGTTAGCACTCTACCACTTGAGCCACAGCACCACTTGCAGCTTTTTCTGTGTATGTGCTACTGAGGTATCAAACCCAGGGCTTCATGAATGCTAGGCAAGCACTCTACCACTAAGCCCCATTTCTAGCTCTATTTTTATTTCTTGTATTTTGTAGAACTGGGTTTTAAATTCAGAGCTTTGTTCAGCTAGCCAAGTGTTCTGCTACTTACACCACATCTCCAGCCTTTAAGAATATTTTTTTGGGGGGCTGGGAAGGTGGCTCAGTGGTAGAGCACTTGCCTTGCATGCCTGAGGCCCTGGGTTCGATTCCTCAGCACCACATAAGCAAAAAGAAAAAAGCAGGAAGTAGCGCTGTGGCTCAAGTGGTAGAGCACTAGCCTTGAGCTGAAGAGTTGAAGGACAGCACCCAGGCCCAGAGTTCAGGCCCCACAACCGGACTAAAAAAAAAAAAAAAGAATTTTTTTTTTCTAGTAAAATTTTCTGAAAATAAACTTTGCCATCTTAGCCATTGTGTGTGAATGTGTAAGGGAGCTGAGGCATGTACTCTATACATTATACTCTCTCAGCTGAGGTTCTACCCCTAGAGCCATTACTTCTGGCTATTTCTGGTTCACTGGAAATAAAATGCTCACTGATTTGTGTGCCCTGATTGGCTCTGAGCTGTGATCTTCAGATCTGTCTCCTGAGTGGCTAGGATTACAAGGGTGAACCAGTGGCACCCAGTTAGACTGGCTTAGTTGCCTTTTGGTTTATCTAATTAACAAAAAAAGTCAATTAGAAAGTTGTGTGGTGGTACAAGGATCCCTGTAAATCTGTCAAATGGAGACAGGATGCCGGAGAGCAAGGATGGAAGGGAGATTGTCTCCCATTTATTAATTAATATTTTACATATAAAACAAGCCAGGAGTGTTGGCTTATGCCAATAACCCCCGCTACTCAGGAGGCAGACATAGGGATCAGGACTCCAGACCAAATGAGGAGAAAAGAGAGCAAAGCCCCATCTCAATCAATAAAAGCTGGACTTGGTAGTGCATACCCATCATACCACTGGTTGTGATAAGGCACAACTCTAATTCCAGTGCTTAAGAGGCTAAGGCTAGAACACTGAGTCTGAGGCCTGCCTGGGATACATAGCAAGATATTATCTCAAAAAAAATCAGTGTAATAAGAAATAATGCCAGGCACTGGTGGCTCATGCCTGTAATCCTAGCTACTCAGAAGGCTGAGATCTGAGATGGAGGTTCAAAGCCACCCTGGGCAGGAAAGTCTGCGAGATTCTTATCTCCAATTAACCACAATCTATCACTTCTGTGGCACTGTGGCTCAAGTGGTAGAGTGCTCACCTTGAACTGAAGAGCTCAAGGACAGCACCCAGGCCCACAAGTTCAAGCTCCACGACTGCCTCCCCTCCCCCCCAAAAAAAGAAAAAAAGAAATAGTAAAACCTCAGTTAATATTCTTGCCTTGGGCAAACCAAAAGTCTGTGCAGGTAGCTCCTACTTTAAGAAAACCAGCTCTAGGGCTGGGAAGGTGGCTCAGTGGTAGAGCGCTTGCCTCACATGCATGAGGTCCTGGGTCCATTCCTCAGCACCACATAAGCAGAAAACCCGGAAGTGGCATTGTGGCTCAAGTAGTAGAGCGCTAGCCTTGAGCTGAAGAGCTCAAGGACAGCATCCAGGCCCAGAGTTCAAGCCCCACAACCGACCAAAAAAAAAGGAAAAAAAAAGAAAACCAGCTCTAGAGCTAGAGAATATAATCAATAGTTCATAGTGACCACCTGGAGGGTGAAGTTATGAGGGTTTTTTTATTTTGAAAATATTATAAAAAGCAGGAGGGGGGTTTTATTTTGAAAATATTATAAAAAGCAGGGACTACTTTTTCTGTTTAAAAATAAATTATTAAGCTGGGTGCTGGTGGCTCACGTCTGTAATCCTAACTACTCAGGAGGCTGAGATCTGAGGAATGCGGTTCAAAGCCAGCCAAAGCAGGAAAGTCTGTGAGACTCCTATCTCCAATAAACCACCAGAAAACTGGAAGTGGTGCTGTAGCTCAAGTGGTAGAGTGCTCACCTTGAGCTGAATTGCTGAGGGACAGCGCCCAGGCCCAGAGTTCAAGCCAACCTAAGCTACATAGTGAGACTTTGTCTCAAGATACAAAACAATTCAAACTAATATATTCTTAGCTCTTAGAGTGTCCAAACACATTCTCTGTGTTGGATTTGGTCCCTACACCCCTGAGCTAGACTGTGACTGTTCCTCCTTTTGCCATGTCCCCCCACCCATGCCCCAGGACACAGAAGCCACCTCCATGGCAGGGACAGGGACCTTTACCCCACAGGCTGGACCTTGTCACTCCATTCCCTGAATGCTGAGAATCTCCTTTGCCCCCAGAATAAAGGGAAAAGGTAAAAACTCCTGCTCTTAGCATGAGTGAGCCCAGGCTCCTTTTCTGGACTGTTCTCTCTTTGCTCCAGGCTGCTTTGATTCTGTGCTACTTACTCCTGACTTTGCCAGTGAACCAAGTGGCTGTGCCAGTGAACCAGGCAGGTCCCAGAGTGTAAGGTGTGCCTGCCTATCCTTCCTTCAGAGATCAGAGGAAGCAGTGTGAGCATGATCCACTTCTCTCCTACCTCTGGACTCCCCCTGGCCCCTTGCCCTCTATGCCCACCCAATGTGGCCCACACCTCCTCTCTCTTCCTCCTTAGCTCTTCTTCCTCTGGCAGATAGAGGAGTCTGGGACTTCATGTCTTTGCCCTTTAGTATAACAGGGATGACTCGGAGAATTGAACATAGCTACCAACCCTAGGACAGAAACACAGACCATATTGAAGGAGTGCTGAGGCAGAAGTCCTGGAGGGCCTACCTTGCAGGGATAAACACTTTAGCTGCAATACCATGAGGATACTCTGCATGTGGTCAACAAGTACTGAGTGTGTTCACGTTTTGATGACCACCAGTGTTTGTGCTCAGGCTGAGCCCCAACCCCAGTGCAGTATTCCTTCCCTAGCCTGATGCTTCCAAATGCTTAAATGACTCTCCCTTCCTGGTCCTCACGTTAAAACCCTTCTGGAAAGTGTTCTGTCAGCAGGCATGAAGTCTGAGCCAGGGGGACCTGAAGTGAGGCTTATCATAGGACATTGCCACGCCCTCCTGAGTAAGCACCAGATTGGATCTATGCTGAGCAGAAGAAAGCACCGACGTGCATTTCATCCCCGCTCTCCTGTTTGCCTGTATACCACTACTGGGTCTGAAACTCAGAGATGCATGTTCTTGCTGAGCTTTTTCACTCAAGGCTGATGCTCTACCACTTAAACCATACCTCTACTTCCAGTTTTTTGCTAGTTAACTGGAGATAAGAGTCTCCCCCCATGTGTCCTTCCTGGGTTGGCTTCACAGAATCCCCAGATCTCAGTCTCCTGGGTAGCTAAGATTCCAAGTGAGACCCACTGGCACCTGGCTTCCAGATAACTCTGAAAGATGAGATGGAGTCCATCATGTCAGAGCAGCCTGAGGAGCCTGGAACTTTCCCTGCACCTAGCTGCCTCCTTCCCCGCACTCTCTTTAGTGCCAAGAGATCCTGTAGCCAAAATCCAAGAACATTAAAATACTCCAAAGTCACAGGGGACCTCTCAAAAGGCTCTGGGTCAGGCTCAGAAAGTCTCCCTGTAGGCAGGAGCTGTGAACACAGCAAAACTCCCTCTAGATTTTTTTTCCCCCACAACCCTGCCATGGCTGCCCTCCCCGGGGGCTCATGATCTCTTGTCTTACCCAGGGCCAAGAAACTGAAGACCCACTGTAGAACCGCGAAGGTTTGCAGCCTGCGCTCCCAAGGCACGGACAAAGGTGCAAACTTCATCCTGGTGGCCTGGCTCCTGGGATCACCTCTGGGCTCCAAGTGGTGACAGCCAGGTGGAAAGGGCCACGCCCACGCCACGCCCACCCAACGTCTTCCTGCTCCGCCTTGGCAGGGTCCAGTTTACTAGAGGAAACCATTAATTCCTCTGTAGGGCCCTGGCGGGAGGAGGAGAAAGAGAAAGACCTGTTCGGCCCTTATCAGTCTTCTTAGGCAATGTCTTATCTGTCAGGAGGCCTAGCTGTGTCAGCTAGAATCTTGCTCTCTGTGCCGTGGGCCAGATGAAACCTCAAGTGTAAAGCAATCTGTCCTCATTCACCTCAGTGGGTTGGAGCCTGCTCTCCTTCCTCTTTCTCTTTCCTCTTCCCTTTTCCCTCCTCTAATCTGTTTACCGCTCCCACCCCACCTCAGGGTGCCAAATCCTCTATCTCCTACATCCCCTACCCCACTTTCTGCTCACTGGCACAACAAAACTCTGTGTTCCAGTCCTTTCCAGCCTCACCTCCCTTCCATCCTTTTTTATTCCACTTTTAAGACATAATATGAGACCTCTCTTGATAATTTCATCATTGACTACTTCATGTGGCTAAATCCCAGGGCCAGCCATCTCTTATCCTGACTTACTGGCAACTTTAGTCACTATGTTAATCAGACCATTTTTCTCTTTTCCTCTCTCTCTCTCTCTCTCTCTCTCTCTTTCTCTCTCTCTTTTTCTCTCTCTCTCTTTCTGTGTCCTGGGCTTCAACTCGGGGCCTGGGTTCTGTCCCTGAGCTTTTTTGCTCAAGGCTCATGCCCTACCACTTGAGCCACAGCTCCACTACAGGCTTTTTTGGTACTTAGATGGAAATAAATGTCCATTGGATTTTCCTGGCCCCACTGGCTTTGATCTCAGCCTCCCTAGTAGCTATGATTACAGTCGACTGGTGCCTAGCTTTGATAGTTTTGTGTGGGTCCAGGGTTTTCTTTTTCTTTTTTGACTGGTCCTGGGGCTTGAATTCTTGGTCTGGGCGCTGTCTGTGAGCTTTGGTGTTCAAGGCTAGTGCTACCATTTGGGCCACAGCTTCACTTTGGCTTTTGGTGGCTAATTGGAGATAAGAGTGTCATGGACTTTTCTGCCCAGACTGGCTTAGAACAGTGATCCTCAGATTTCAGCCTCCTGAATAACTAGGATTGCAAAAGTGAGCTACCAGCTTTTGGCTGGGTTCAAAGTTTTCTTTTCATCAGCAGCCCTGCTCTGCATTTCATGACTGCAACAAGTTTCCTTTTGATTGGTCCATGAAATCCTCATGCTCAGAAAGCTCATATCCAAGGTATGAGACAATCTAGTGTACAGAAAATGAGAGGAGAGCCAAGTGCTGGTGACTCACACCTGTAATCCCAGCTACTCAGTAGTCTGAGATCTGAGGATTTTAGCTCAAAGCCAACCCCGTGCAGGAAAATCCATGAGGCTTTTATCTCCAATTAAACACCAGTAATGGTGCTGTGGCTCAAAGTGACAGAGCACTAGCCATGAGCAAAAAAAGCTCAAGGATAGCACCCAGGCCTTGAGTTCAAGCCCTATGGCCAATAAAGAAAAAAAGAAGCAAAGAAAGGAGGCATTCTGAGCCCCCAATAAAAATTTTTTAAAGAAAAACAATATAAGAATCTCACAGACTTTCCTTCTGAGACTGGTTTCAAACTGAGATCCTCAGATCTCAGACTCCTGAGTAGCTAAGATTACAGGCGTGAGCCACTTGTGCCTGGCTATGGGTCTGGGAAACTGTGAATATCCTCCTGCTTCCCGCTGTCCTCTCTGGTCCTTCCTTCCCCTCCTCTCCCTAGCCCTTCCCTTTCCTCCCTCCTTTCCCTTCCCTGGTCTCCCTTCCCCTCCTTTCCTTTCCCTTCCCTTCCTCCCCTGTTTTCATCCCTGCTCCTCCTCCTTCTTGTTGTGGGGAAACTATTCAGACCCAGCTCGTTGAAAGTTTGCTTCTCCAAGAACTTGGGGTTCTGATGTAAGTGGAGAAGATGGAGACGCTGGATCTCCTGCCACTTCTCTGCCTTCTAACCTCACAGGCTGGAGGATGGAGAGAATGGAGGGGCTAGTTAGAAATCCATGCTGGTTCACTCATGAATTAGATCTGTGACTTGGAGCAAGCCATTTGTTTGAGCCTCAACTTCCTCATCCACAAAATGAGGTAAATAATACCAACTCATCATTGCTGTACGGATCAAAATGTAGACCATCAGCCCAAGTCTTGTAGTCTATGCCAGCTTGATAAGTAGTTTCCATTTCTTTAGCTATTTCTGGCTCCAAACCTCCTTAGTCACTGAGTTTAATCAAGCCAGTCCTGACTTCCTTCCCTTTTCCAGTGGCCCTTGCCACCAGTGCACTGGAGAAGACAAGACTATGTGACAAAGGGTTAGGAGGTCTGTTGGACTCAACACTGAGAGCAGCACTGATCACTTTAGGCAAATGATATTGGGGTAATAGTTACACTCTTAGTCCTCCAGACACAAGTGTTTCTTTTTTCCCCCAGAAGCTTTTGTGCCCTCCTCCCTGTCCCCAGTGTCTCCTGTGTCCTGTCCTCTTCAGAAGCCCAGGAGGCAGAATGTGGATCCACTTGGCCACGTTCCAGCCCACAGTCTGCCCCTCAATATTCAGCAAGTACAAATTGACTGGCCTAAAACTACTTATCTTGACCAGTGCTCTTGACCCTACTATTTAAGCCCAGCAAGAAGACATAACTCTGAAAATAGAAAAAAAAATATATTGTCATTACTTAATCGGAACACTCACCATGAAGGATTGACTCAGCAGACCAATTTAATGGATTGCAGAGAATGCATTTTCCCTCACGGAAAGTGGATGGCTGGTGTCCAGTTTCTATTCAAACCATAGTCATCCTACAAAAGATGGCAAGCCAAGAGCTGGGCGCTGGTGCCTCACACCTGTAATCCTAGCTACACAGGAGGCTGAGATCTGAGGATCATGGTTCAAAGCCAGCCCGGGCAGGAAATTCCCCTTGAGACTCTTACTTCAAATTAACCACCAGAAAACTGCAAGTGGCACTGTGGCTCAAGTGGTAGAGCACTTGCCTTAAGCTGAAGAACTCAGGGACAGCATCCAGGCCAGAGTTCAAGCCCCATGACCAAACCAAAAAAAAAAAGATGGCCACCCAAATGTGGTCCCTTTCTTTCCACCAAATTACACATACTGTTCTCGTAACCATGAACATTACCATCCACCCACCATCTATGTGCACCTGCCATGCATCAGGACTTCTCACAGCGTTGTTATGAGGCTAGTACTGTTTATTACCTCTGTTTTTTTTTTCAGAGAAAAAAAGTGAGGCTAGAAAGGATAGATAAATCATTTCTTCCACGATATCCAGCTGGTTAGAAACAGGGCTGTGTTTCATTTCTCTCCTCTTTTTCCTCTGATTACCCTGATCCAGTCTGTCCTTCTCCTTTGTGGATGCTTCTTAATTCCTGGCATGTCCTCAAAATTGCATCTTCTATCTATTGGCCAATAGCTAACCATGGTGTCTAGGTGTCCAGGTGTCCAGGGCTTGGCTCATGACTTTCACAAAAGCTCCTGAAATGAATCAGTGAGTGAACTCATGATGCAGACATAGATAAGTGAAAAGAGATGGACTGATAGATAGAAAAGTGGGTATGTGAATAAGTGCATTCGTTGATTATTAAAGATAACTCCTAAATCTGAATTTCTTTTTTTTCTTTTTTTGGTCTGGTCATGGGGCCTGAACTCTGGGCCTGGGCGCTGTCCCTCAGCTCTTCAGCTCAAGGATAGCGCTCTACCACTTGAGCCACAGCACCACTTCTGGCTTTTTTCTTATGTGGTGCTGAGGAATCGAACCCAGGGCCTCAGGCATGCAAGGCAAGCACTCTACCACTGAGCCACCTTCCCAGCCCCTTAAATCTGACTTTCTTATCCTCTTCATTTCTCTTAGTATCTCCAAATGCCTATCAGAACTTTGCACTTGCCTCCTTTGTCATCACCAAATATTACACTTATACAAATCTGAACTCTGTCCTAGCTGAACCTTTCTCCTGTTTTCTGATAACATTCTTCTCAGTGAACCTTTCACCGGGACTGATGGATTCAATCAATCAACTGTGAGTCTGTGTGTGTGTGGGTGTGTGTATGTGTCTTTCTTTTCTTTCTGCCTTCATTCCTTCTTTTTCTCTTTCTCTTTTTCTCTCTCTTACTCCCCCTTCCTTCCTTTTTTTCCTTCCTTGTCTCTTTCTCCCTTCTTCCCACCAGCCCACCCTCCCTTTCCTCCTTCACTCCTTCTGTTTTTTGTAAATCTAATTTTAGGGTAAATTTTAGAGTACAGACTGGGAAGATCCTGGAGAAGCAGAACTTTTCAGGCAACAATAGAGCGAAAGTCGAATAGCAAACAATAAGCAAGTTTAAAAAAATGGACAAGATGACTCTAGAAGGGAATAAACAACCCATTGAGGAAGAAGAGTGATGAAAGAACACTGGATAAGATGTCACACTAGATAAGATGTGAAGGGAAGTCTCACTGGAAGATACAAAGCAAGACCTATAAGAAAAGAATGAGGCAGCTCAGTAAAGAACTGAATGGTGACCATTGCAGGGAGAGAAAACAGCAAGTGGAAAAGCTCTGGGTTGAGAAGATCCTGGTGTGCTTCAGGAACACAGAGAGAGGCTTGCAGGCAACTGCAGCACAGTGAACAGCTAGAAACTATGCCAGAGCTGGTTGCTCACAGACATGAGAAATGAGAACAGTTTGCAGGTTTGTGTAAAGCATGGCACATCTGGATTTTATTCTAGGAGCACTGGAAGAATGACATGACCCTTCTGGTACACACACAGTCCTCAGGTGCTGGGGATTCACAAGTGAGTTATATCAGGGTCACCAGGGAAGGTGACCCTATTTGCAATACTCAGAGCACAGAAAGGAAATACACATGTGCTCTTTCATAATGTCACCACAACACAACCCCACTAGCCACCTTGGCAAAAATGACACTAAACAGAAAAGGGTAGATCAAGCTTATTTATGAATATTAAAACAAAACACTTTATTGTTCTGGTAAAT